AGGAGTAGAGAGCCCAAGCCTGCCCAAAAAAAAGGTAGGATGTTGGAGAAGAGTGATGAGGGAGACTTCCTCTGCCAAGGTTAAGGAGAGGGATGTGTCAGCCCTCGAAGTGAGTTCTCTACTCATTCCTCTCAATTAAATATTTAAAAGCCAGTGAATGTCTATACAAATTCCAGGGCCAGATTTAAGGGTGTTTGGATGCTGCTCAGGGAGAGCATTTCTGTTCATCAGAATGGACATGAACTCAGCACCAAAGTTGGTGTCAGGATTGTTTGTGTGACTTCAGCTTGGGATCTCCTCCATATTTATGATTTCATTTTTAGGGCTGTGAACATCATGACCACTATCAGTTTGGTTGGTAACTTTAGGTACAATTTCATGAAAATGTTTTCATGGGACTTTTATGATAATGTAAAACTATCTCCATCTGCAATCTCACCCTGTCGGTGTGCTTCTAGGGGTTCCACTCTTCTTATCTCCAATTTAGCTGGCAGAATGTCTGGAGGGGGAAAGGATAAGAGAGGTGAGATTTCAGGCTTTCATATTTATAACAGCATCACCACTCTGAACTCTTAGAATTGTATTTTCATCATGACAGAGAAACAGACAGAGAGGCACAGAGACACACTCAGATATTTAAAATAAACTAATCTAAAACCTTCTCTTTCCTCTCTCATTCAGGTATCTCTCAGCAATGGAACCAACGTCCTTGCAGCCTCACAACCATCCCAGGACACATAATCCATAAAACAGATTTATTTTCTCCTCATCAACCCCTCCCACCTTTCAGATTCCAGCTGGTTTGTCTCATTCACTTACGGGCTTTTGTTGTAACCTAGACCCAGATCATACAAAGACTTTGGCATCACAGTAACTTTACCCACTTTGATCCCTTTGACACTAATTGGATGTTGAGAGTTTGCAAAATCCTGGCTTTAATTGTGAGCTGCTGGGTCTGTTTACTCAGCGTTTATACTGACTGACTTGGCTTTGGCCTGGTTAGCAGTTTGCTTGACATAAGGGAATTGTTGCCTTAAGTGACCTTCATATCAAGTGATGTGTTCCTAAGTTGAGATGTTTTGACCACACAATATGCTTAAGGAGAACAGACACCCAAAATGTACTGCCCAGGAGTGGTAAGCAAAGTCCTAAAATCCCTATGTGGAGGAAAGAGTCAAAGTGAGCTATGCATAATTAGCGGTAATAAACCAATGAGAAAAGAGAATAACATGAAAATATCTTGGAGTGCAAAGTCCTACCAATAAAAAAGTTCATGCATGTGAATTGCATGAGTTATATAAGATATGATTATTAAATAACACTCAAAGGTGATTGGAAAAGAACTAATAAATATGTAATTTGGATGTGTATAGTGTCAGACAGTGTAAGGGATAGTCAGAGCTTCATAGGAGAAATCCCCCGTGACCTGCCTACGCCCCAGGAGAAGGGAACTGGCCAGCACTTCTTTCTATATGCGATGGCAAGTAGCAAATATCCCAATGGCTGGTGATGGGGCAGTAGACGTGGAGGGCTCAGAGTTACAGAGAATTCTTTGCCGGGTGTCTGGCCAAAATGCCCAGTGTCTAACGGACCACCATATTTGGGGTTGGGAAGGAATTTCCCCCCACATCAGATTGGCAGAGAGCCTGGGGGTTTTTCGCTTTCCTCTGCGGTATGGGGCATGGATCGTTAGCAGATATTAAACTAGAATAAATGATGCATTCTCTTATTTGAGGACTTCAGTAACTCAGCCTAAGGTTAGGTGTCAATTGCAGGAGTGGGTGGCAAGGTTCTGAGGCCTGCAATGTGCAGGAGGTCAGACTAGATGATCGTGATGGTCCCTTCTGGCCTTAAAGTCTATGAGTCATTTCTTACTTTAACCGTAATTGTAATGGCAAGGCAGGCTTTTGGTAGAAATAAGGGTTTGAATTAATCAACCTGAGGGTCTTGCACCCCAAGTCTGTGGCATTCTCACCCAACAATTAAATAGATCCATCATCTAATTATGAACCAATTGGCCAGAGTCATTCTCCTCCCCCAGTCTCAGAGGCTCATCCCAATTTCCCCTCCTAGGTCCCTTCTCGGTACCTTTGAACTTCCTCAGAGTCTCCATTACAGCAATAGTTTTCTGGGAGAAATCACTGAGTCTCACTTCCAGTTCAGGAGAAATCTCCCTTGGCTGCTGGAACTTCCCCTTCTCACATCTAGACAGAAACAATGTCACATGGTTATCTTTCATGTAGTGACTCATTATAAGTTCTGGCTAGTGAGCTGCTGCTCTAATGGGCCTGGAGCTACAATTCATCTACACCTCCCACCCTCAGAGCAGGTGCAACACAGCCCTTGGCCGTGAAACATTCCCACTTACGGTCCCATTAATATTCTTCGGCTCTCACCTGGAGAGACCAGCTCTGGAGATAAGAGGGGAATTGAGTCTCCGGGGTGAATTCACTCATTGGCCTCCATGCTCTGAGGGACAGGAGGTTCCCATGCAAAGTGCTGTAGAAATTGGTCCACTAGGAACTAGACTGAGACACCAACTCCCCCCTCCCCAGCTCATTCCATACAGATATCAGGAGGGAAAGTCTCTTGACCACTGCTGCCCTGGACTGAAT